GTGAATTATGTATATTAAAATGGCTCTGTTAAAAATATTAAGACCAGAGAAAATGATATCTCAATAAGGAAATGTTTTTGTTATTGCTCATCTTGGCAATTTTGATATCATATTTTTATTATTTTTTAATTAGAAGTTTTTGATCATTTAAATTTGATCTTCAAATATTTAATGCAAAGTAGCATTACTTTGAATGAGACACATATTGTAACATTTTGTTAATATCTTATCATTCAAACAAAATCAAATTGTATTTTTATTGTGCATGAATAGCTTTGATTCATCTGCTATTGTATTTTACTGCTAACTTTTAGTTAGTACTATTAAAATATATATTTAAATATTCATTTAAAATAATTATAGCTTGAGCACATTGGTAAATAGCATATAAGGGCTTTAAATTTATTAAAAAACACAAACATTGAACACATAATCACAGATTAATGAAAAACTTTATGACAGTAGTTTAAATCCAAATTGCTGAAAATATAGATAGAGGAATTTTTTCTGCTAATTTTCACTAATTAAATCTTAAGATGAATAAAGTGGATTTTTTCATATAATTATCATACTTGTCATGTCTTTTGTGTATTTTTCAGCAATAGTCTAGTATTGAATATATCTTGGAAAAAAGTAAATCAACTTGCTTGAACTTTGTGCAGGTATTTTCAAACTGTAATTGGGCACATGTGCATACATGTTCATAAAAAACAAGTTTATATAAAACTTTTTAGATAAGCTTTTTGATAATTTTGTTTTTTACTTTTTAGGTGGGAAAGTATACTGCAGTAAATAGGACTGTCATTACATTTTTCTGTTGCTGATGAAAAAATATTTCAAGTGAGTTATTTCCTTCATGCTAATATTCTCTAAAATGTTGTACAGAACATTTTTGTCAGTGTTTGAATATGTTTTATCAATTGTATGAAAAACATTTTAATTTAATCTTTTATTTTTCATTAAATTTCTGATAAAAAGTGTTAATTACAAAGACTAGACAAATTAAGAATTGATAAGATATCAAATACAAATTTTAAAGAATTTTTACCTATTTTTGAATTTCATGAAAGATTGGCAAATGATTTCTATATGCAAAGCTGTAATTTGATAATTATACTACTGATCATTTAATGAGTAATTGATACATGTATGTGTAGAGTATAAATACAATATTTATCAGTAGTAAGATTTAAACTGAAACTCATGACAATTATGTGAATGATTAGATTTGTTCATTTTTTTTGATTTCAATTGTGTGCTTATTTACTTCACTGAACCCAAGTTTTAGTGAAACAATTTTGAGATATTGTACTAATTCTACAAAATTCAGTATTTTGTATATTTGACCCAGCAACAAGATTTTGTGAAAATTTCTGAATATCTTTTTAACTAAAAATTAGTCACTCTTTCATATACCATTATCAGACAATTTTATTTTGTTATATATATATATATATATATTTTCAGATGGCTGAAGGTCCAAGTAGCTCTGAAATTGAACGAGATCTGAAATTGCTTCTTGGGATACCATGTTCATCTTTTGATAAGCCAGCAAACCAGCAGGTTCCTATAAGTGCTGATATTTCTGTTCATGATGTGTCCAACTCTCACAAGAAGCAAAATAGTTTGTTTGGGGAAATGGATGAAAAAAGGATAAATAATAGACTGAAACAAAAGGATCTTAGCCACAGACAGAATTTGCAAGCTGATATGTATCCCCAAGAACAACCAACTTTGCACAACATGCAACGTTCCAATATACGGGAGTCTCATAGCTGGAAAGAATCAAGGAAAGCCAAACAGAAAGATGTTACAAAAGGATCAATATTCAATATAAACCCTGATAGAAAGATCTCTATCCTTAAACCTGATCACAGCAGTAACATGCAAGAAAGAGATCATGGAAAAATGGATGGGCATAATGCACAGAATAACAATGGCAGTACTTCAAAAATGTGTGCCAAAGTTGTTGAAATGATGAAGTCAGCATCAGCTGAGTATCATCTTAAGGGAAATGCTAATAATTCTGTTCTTAAAAAACCAGGTGAGTGTAACTTTATTTTTGATCTATTATAAAGAAATTGTCTCTTTATCTGTAATTTTTACACATATTTAAAGCTTTAACTTTGTAACAATAAAACCATACTCAAATACAAGTTAAGTGGAAATTATTCATTTAAATGTTACTGAAATTAGGAAAAAATACTTTCTTTTGTGTCATTAATGTCAGAATTACTAATAAAATGTTTAAACTTTATTTTCAAGCTTAATTTTGTTAGTATTATAAGATGTATGCAAATACTCATGTTAATTGAAACACGTTTATATTTATTCTGTTTTCAGTACACTAATTTTTAGTCAAATCAAAGGATTAATGAGCTACTTTCACAATTTTAGAAGTGACTTATTTATATTTTTCTACATTTCAAATGGATTAGCTTTAGTTGTACTCTCCCTCAAATAGATATATGGCTGTATAGCACTCAGTTCAGTTGTGCATCCAAATATTAGAATTGGGAAAGATTGTCTTTGTAGATCACAGCAAATGTATCTTTGTGATTCAGAATGAAATCTTGTTTAGATTTCCATGTTTATCATGTTATTATAATCAGATGAAAATCAGAAGTTGCACTGGTCAAATTGTGAGAAAAACCTACACACGTGTGATTATATATATATATATATATATATATATATATATATATATATAATATCTTACATTAATTGCACAACTCAGAGTTTCATATATTTCTTAAAATATATATTAAATAGCTCTGTTACTTAACATTGACCACTGTTTTTTCTTACATTTTAGAATATATGTATCAATGTTTATAAATTTATTTTTGCAGCATTGATTTTGAAGATTGAGTTTCCCTGTTAACCATTTTTTTAAATTGATTTCAATATGAAAATAATTCTAAATTTAAAACATTATAAATATGCAATAAATAACTTCCTTTTTATTTAATTTTTTTAAGTCTGAAAGATTTTGTGCTTAAAAGTAAACTGTTAGCAATAAAAAAACAAAACTACTTTTGCAATATGTCATAATTATTTACATTGATTGTTTTTTTTTAATCTTTATAGAGGAATTGGCAAATGAAGACAAAGTTTTTCCATTGAAACGGGTAAGATTTGTTAAATTTTTCATGACATTTTTAGACAATTTTTGCTGATAATGAGTTTTACAGTTGATGTCTATCAGATATTTTACACTACATTTTTATATTTTTAAATGTTCTTTTTATATTGAAATAGTATCTATATATACAGTCCATTAAATATTTACATACCTCTGTTGAATGTGTACATTGTCAGTTTCAAGTGTTATTTTAAAACCATAAAATTTATTTCTATAAAATATTTTGCATGGAAGTACCTAGGTACTTCCATGCACTTTTATTGAAAATGCAATGTGGAGAAAAATGCCTAAAACGCATGAATGTCAATTCTATTGCTATAATTTTTGTGCTATTAGTAAAAACCATTAGTGAAAATTATAATATAAAAAACTAGCAGTAGAGCCCGGCGTTGCTCGGGGATGTAACGGTAAGAGATAGATCAAGTATCGACCATCATAAAGACTGAAAAATAAAATTGATAAAGATTATTGTTTAAGGTTGACGGACACGCATGTCTTAATTAGTTTTTTGGTTTTGTGTGATTTTTAAGAATTGGTCAAACTCAAACAAAAACATTGTTTTCAATCGTTATGAGTCTAGAATTTTATTATAAACAATTGCCTTGTAAATGGAATTTTTAAAGCATTCTGAATGTAAAAATAAAGAAAAAAGTGTGCAAGACAATAAGAAACACTACCTGCCAAAAAAAGTGAAGTTTTGTTGAAATCGGTTGAAAAATGTAGGAAATCCAATCCCATATATAAACGAACACACGCGCACACACACACACACACAAACAACCTGGGTTTTATAAGTATATAACTCGATATGAGTTGTCCCCCTTTCATTCTCGCAATGACTCTTAATCGTGTTTTCAAATTGATTTTGTGCAAAAACAATTGTTTTTTTTTTCCAATTTTTGGCGCTGTCGGAACCACCGCAAGGTAATTTTATGTAATCTTGTGAAGTTTTGTTAAAATCGGTTGAAAAATGTAGGAAATTCGATCCAATATATAAACGAACACACACACACACACACACACACACACACACACACACACACACACACAACCTGGGTTTTATAATAAGTATGATTATTTGTGCTCAAAAAGTTGTTTAACATGCATAAAATTGTGTAACATAACCATGTGCATGATAAAATTGTTCTGTGAAAGACTTAGATTTTAAGATTTTCCAAATATCTGCACATTATCAGTTTTGGACTTTTTTCATCATGAAAAAATATTTGATAAATGTTAGTGGAAATAATTTTTTAAAAGTTAATTAATCACTTCCTTTTATTTAATTTTATAAAATCTTAATGAAATATCTTTTGGACACAAAAAATATTTAAATTTCTAGTAGGTAAATTTTTGAAGAAATTAGTTTAAATTTTATTTGAAACTTTGACCAGAGAATGGGACATGAAATCAGAATACATTTTTTTTTTTTTTTTTTTTTTTTTTTTTTAAGTTTTCAAAATTTGAATTCTTTTTGGACATTTCTGAAACACTGTTATTAAATAACCATTTTAATGATTGAGAAATGTGAAGCTTAAAACTCCAATGAACTGGGAGATTTTTAATAGAAAATTATCTATTCATTTTTTTTTTTTTTAATTATATATATATAATAATAATAATCCCTTACTATGAAGGTAATTTGCATTAACCAGAAAAAAAGGATGAGACAGAAGCGTCTATCTTTTTAAATTTGGATTTTTAATGTAACTATAACAACAAAAACATTTCAATTTCATTTTTGCCTTGAAAAAGTCTGAAGACGAAATGCGTCGGCAAAATGTAAGATTTTTTTCCAATTGTCATTTGATACTATATATATATATGGGTCATTCCATGTCAATTCACTAGGGCATTACACCCACTGACACCGAATTACTTGAAATTTGGCACAAATGCTCCCCTTCATGAGTTAGGAAAGTGTGCCAAATTATTTTGTGCTAGACTTTACCGTTCCAATTTTAAGGGGGGTGTATAATTTTCCTATTTTGCCTCTAAATTAAGGCCATGCAACGTCACCGAATTTCAGTGTTTTTTTTAAAAATTAAAGAAAAATACTTCCATACCTTCAATATTTCTGAAATTTGGTATGTAGGGCAAATAAGAAGTGTAGAATCCAAATATTTAACTATTTCAAGCCTACACCTGATAGAAAATTTTATTTTGCTCATCCTAATACATGACCCCAAAATCAACAACTTTTCACCTATGTAGCTTACGGTCAGTCTATCAAAAATACATCTTCTTCAATTTCCATAATATTTTTTGCCTAACATCTACAATGCCTGCTCAAGTTCACCAAAAATTTTGTGACGGTTTTACTTCTACTTTAGAAGATATGACCCTGCCAAGTTTAGAGTTTTTTCCTACGTATGTGCAGGATTTCCAAGAAAGATTATAATTAAAGACAATCATCCTAATGCTCCTTGACCTCTAAAATGTTGATATTGTGCTAAGTAACTTCCTAAACTATTCAATAAGATTGTTTTTATTAATTTAAAAAAAAATTATTTAAATATATTTTGCAGATATTACTTTTTGTACAGATAGATTGTCTTTCAAAAGGGATAAACATTGCCTCATGTATGATAATCAACAGTGCATAGAAAATTTGTAAATGGCACTTAACAAATGGAGTTAAAAGAAATTCTTTCTGTTTGTGTTTTTTTTAATTCTATTTTGGTAAATTATTTTCATGAAACAAAAAAACATTTAATTTTTTTTCATTCCCAAAAAGAGTCATAAGATAAATGTGAATCTTTAAAACATATTTGAAATTGGCACTTAACATATTTATATAGTTGAAGGAAATGCTTTCATTACTTTTTTAAAATTCTATTTTTTTAAATAATTTTTCAAAATTATTTTCATGAAACAAAAATATTTGAATTTTGTTTCATTCAGAAAAAAATCATAATAAAAATGCTTATACAAAGAGTCTACACTATGTACTAAATTTTGTTGTGCATATAGACTAAATTGTTTTGGATATAATTTTTTGCAAAGATAATTTATCCATCTCGCACAAATGATAAACTCTACCATTTGTTGTTGTAGGAACATCAACAGTGCACAGAATATTCATTAATGGTACAAAACATATCCTTAAAATCTTATTTTCAGTAAAATGAATGTGATGGAAGAGCTTGGTGCATGGACTTAATCAGCAAGTCCTTATTCTCCATATCAATTTCCTGGTCCATGCCAATCCAAATTTTATTGTCGCACTTGCAATAAACATATCCTGAAACAAAATAATTTACTGGTTTTTCTTCGGTCCCAATAGAAAAGTCATATATTAGGTCATAGTTTTCATCTTCGCTACATTGTTTCATAGCTATTTTATCTCTGGCGAGTGGAATAAATTGATGAAAACTTCTTGTTCCTGGGACTGTGGATGCATTTTTGAATCTCATGGTGAGACTCCTATTCACTTCCTCAACTTCTTCCTTTTCAACCAGAATGAATTTGATACCTTCAATTGCAGATTTACAATATTCAAACATAGATTCTGTGGAAAGGATTTGTTTGGTAGTTGGTCTTCAGAGACTTTCTTTTGACACTATCCTTTTCACCACCTATGCCATCACACGGTTGTTTACCATGACTTGTTGCAAAGAAATTCCATTTTGCATTGAGCCCAAAATCTTTCTGATGGTTGCACAAATTGGCAAAGTTCTTATAATTCTTGTATTGCACTGCACATTGGGAGAACTCTATTGATTCAGCATTATCAATATATCCTTCCATGGTGTCAAAGAAATTTTTCAAGCTGCCCTGATGATTTAGGACAATTTGGGCACCTATGAATCATACACTCTCTGCTACTGGTATTACAGACAATATATTTGCAGAGATCTTTATATGATACATTCAGTGGTTCCAGTAATAATTTCATATTTTGGTGGATAGTGCATACAACAAGCGTACCTGCACTACCAGCAAGGACATACTATTTCGGCCTTAGACTACAAAATTTTGAAAATCCCAAAGGTACTGTTGGGTTTTGTTCCTTGAATGCTCTGAAGAGCTCATTTAGGTTGCACAAGATGAGTCTTTTCTGCTGATGAATATAACGTAGTCTTTCTTGCCTGGCATCAGATGAGTATATTCATCACCTTGGTAAAATGCTTCCACTAATTGTGCAATATCAGCAGGCAAAGACTTGCCCCTTTTTGGTTCTGGCACAGCTAAAATACCTCTTTCCAAACAATTTGCAAGCCTTGCATACAATGTGTTCTGAAACACCAAACACATCCATGACTTTTTTGTGTGATCAGTTGGTAGGGGCAAGTGTCAAGATCTGTATTTTGATTTTAGTTGACCCACTGTCTTCACTTTTGCTACAAGAAGCTCTATAATTTTATCAAAGCACTTAGCTTTATCTAAAATCTCCTTTTGATTTTTAAAGCCTCATCATAAAACAGCTCATAGTCAATCTTTAATGACTTGCCTACTTTACATTGCATTGCAGAAAAAAAAATTTCTCTTACCTAAAGTAGCTTTTCCTGAGTAATGAAGCTCTTTTGTTTTCAGTGGAGAAATTCCAATAGCAGAGAAACATTCATTGATATTTCTCTTCTCTGTTTTTGCAGAAGTACTTGTATCAAGCTCTTTCATTTCCTCATCTGATATACATCTTGGTTCTTCATTATTACTACTCTTTTCTGATTCTGCAGAAGTACCTGCTTCAAGTTCTTGTATTTCCTTATCCGATACATGTCTTGGTTCTTCATCATCTGGAAGTAGTTTTTGGATTTGTATTCAACAATTTGGGCAGAGTTTCTTGCCTGGGATTAATACCAACTTAGCCTTTGCCTTGTCTGCCATCTCCGATGAAATTGGTTTCAAATCACCTTTGATTTGCATTTTATGATTTTTAAATGGATTACATCTTTTTTTCAAGCCATTCATAGTTAGTCAACAAGGTCTGCTTGTGATGGTAACAGTCTGTATTTTATCCTCATCAAGTCCTGTTCTATAGGGTATAAGCTTTGCATCCAATTGATCAACTGAAATCAGTCCAACTTGTTTATCATTGAATAAACCATGACATGTTTCAACTGTTAGCTCAGTACAAATAGAGCAATTCATCTTTAACTGAAAAAAGAAAATACTGTACGTCAAATGCAGTGTGCAAGTAAAAAAATCCAAGTAATTAGAAAAATACCACCTTTCTTCTTGGATACTGGATGGTAAGTGACAGTTGTTTCAGGACGAGACAGTGCATAGTGTAGTTTAAATGTAATCTTTTAAAGACTCTTTTATATTCAATTTTATTATAACTTTCTTCTGATTAAAACAAAATCAAACATTTTTGTTTCATGAAAATAATTTTTGAAAAATTAAAATAAAAATTAAAATAAAAATTTTAAAAAAGTAATGAAAGCATTTCCTTCAACTATATAAATATGTTAAGTGCCAACTTCAAATATTATGTTTTAAAGATTCACATTTATCTTATGACTCTTTTTGGGAATGAAAAAAATCAAATGTTTTTTTTGTTTCATGAAAATAATTTACCAAAATAAAATTAAAAGAAACACAAACAGAAAGAATTTCTTTTAACTCCATTTGTTAAGTGCCATTTACAAATTTTCTATGCACTGTTGATTATCATACATGAGGCAATGTTTATCCCTTTTGAAAGACAATCTATCTGTACAAAAAGTAATATCTGCAAAATATATTTAAATAATTGTTTTTATTAATTTAAAAAAAATCTTATTGAATAGTTTAGGAAGTTACTTAGCACAATATCAACATTTTAGAGGTCAAGGAGCATTAGGATGATTGTCTTTAATTATAATCTTTCTTGGAAATCCTGCACATACGTAGGAAAAAACTCTAAACTTGGCAGAGTCATATCTTCTAAAGTAGAAGTAAAACCGTCACAAAATTTTTGGTGAACTTGAGCAGGCATTGTAGATGTTAGGCAAAAAATATTATGGAAATTGAAGAGGACGTATTTTTGATAGACTGACTGTAAGCTACATAGGTGAAAAGTTGTTGATTTTGAGGTCATGTATTAGGATGAGCAAAATAAAATTTTCTATTAAGTGTAGGTTTGAAATAGTTAAATATTTGGATTCTACACTTCTTATTTGCCCTACATACCAAATTTCAGAAATATTGAAGGTATGGAAGTATTTTTCTTTAATTTTTAAAAAACACTGAAATTCGGCAACTTTGCATGGCCTTAATTTAGAGGCAAATTAGGAAAATTATACATCCCCCTTAAAATTGGAACGGTAAAGTCTAGCACAAAATAATTTGGCACACTTTCCTAACTCATGAAGGGGAGCATTTGTGCCAAATATCAGGTAATTCAGTGTCGGTGGGTGCAGATTTCAACTTTTTGCTGGTGTTTTGACATGGAATGACCCATATATAATATAAAAATGATGTAGTTAACATGTATAGAAGATTAAGAAATAATAAAATTCTTTTTGGCTACCCTTGGTGCTTTTTTGTATACACGTTTATATGCACAAAGAAAACAAGGTTTTCTTATTTTTTGCCATCCTTACTTCAACTATATGAATGTTTGTACAACATAAGTTATTAGTGCAAAAAGTGTAACTGATGGGCTTGAATTTGGATTCAAATCTGAGCTGTTGTGCTCACTTCCCACTCATACTTTTGAGAAAGGTATGTATCTCTTCTTCCCTCTGTTAGTTATGGGTAAAGTAGCAGGTTCATGTAGGAGAAGGACAAGGCTAACAACTAAAGCTAGCAGCATCACCTTGTTTTGTGTTGTAGCACTATGCATCACAGGTTTTAAGATACTTCAACTGTCTCATGAGATTATCATAAATTTAAGCAGGCTTTCACTAATCTTAAAGCAATTTTGAATAACATTAAAAAAAAAAAATTGCTTTTGGTTGATATCCCAAACTAGAATTTTATTTTCAATATATCTAAAAAAACTTTAATATGAGAATAGAAAGCTTGATAAAAAGAAAAATGATGACAAATTTATCTTGGTAGCTCAATTAGCCACAAAGTTAGGATCATTCAAAGTTTGTCAGTTTTCTGTCTTGTATGTTATTAGGCCAGAAACGAATTTCAACAGTGTATAACTGAAGATGCCAGCTTCAGATTAGTTAAAAATCATTATAAATGTAATATCATATAGTCTTGAAGGAAAAGAAATATAATACTAATTGAATCAATACTTATTAGGTCAGACCAGCCTAAACATTAGGAAACATAGTTTTCAAAAACGAAATAATTAAAACATGACACTGAAGGGTAATTTTGACTGTTCATATAAGTTTTATTTCAAGAGTTAATGCCTTGCAACTTCTTGCTATGATTAATAGCACAAAAGTGATGAAGTTAAATCTTTTTCTCAGTAGTACATCAATAAAAACAAAAAAATCATTTATACAATGTAAAAATGCCAGAAGCACAATTTGATAAGGAGGTGAAAACAGGTAAAAAGTGTACCATTCTGAATGTGGTGTGGAAAAAAAAGTCAATAAAACAGTTCTTTTCTCTGTAATATGAACAACTTTTGTTATAGATGTATCTAACTGGGAAATTTGAAATTATGTAAAAAAAGGGCAGTAATAACTACAAAACTTAAAAATTTGTTTGATGAAATGAATCATTGGTCAATCCTTCAAACAAATGCTTATTGTAAAGCTTAAAAACTAATTTATCATAAGACTAAAAAACCTGAAATGAATAAAGATATCTACTACTAAAGTAGATTAACAGTGTGTTTTGCTTAAATGTATTTTCTTTATAGACAAAAACTAATATTGGAACTAAGAATGTGGTAGCTACTGTTTAACACTTTATTCTGGCAGAATAAATGTTATTCTTTGGGTAGTAAACTATTGACTTAGAAGCTGAAAAATTCTTTTTATTTGTCAAATCTGCAAAACCAAGTATTATAAAAATATTTGTATAACAGTAATGAGAACTTTTTAGATATTGTCCTAAATTAATCTGATTCTTACATTTTTGTCTTTGTAGGATGTCAATTTAAACTTTATTTAAAATCTAATTTTTAAGCGTTCCCCAAAATTTCCTGATGCCAAATACTTTTGTCGCTTATGTGAGTACCATTGTATGAGTGATGCTGATTGCCTAACTCACATTAAAACTGAAAAGCATCAATGGCGTAAGGAGGTGAGTTATGTTTTGATTTTATTGTGTAATCTTGATAAAATATGCTTTTTCTGGGTTTTTTGTTTTCATTTTATCTTGAAAACAATGCCAATGACAAGTATGAAATTGTAACTCTTGAAAAAACTTCAATACATGATTTTAAAAGTGTAATTGAAATTGTTTTTAAACTTTACAAAAATTGTAAAATTTGACTTTTTAATGTTTACTTTTATTAACATAATGTCAATTATTATATCATGATTCCAAATAACTCTAGAATTTTTAAACATTAAACTTTATAATTAAAACTCTACCAAAATTAAATTGTCAAATGAAGGTGATTTGATGAAAAAATCCACACTTTTTGCTTAAAAAGCAATGAAAAATAATTTTTAACTGTATAGGTTCTTTTTCTGTTAGTATAGCTCAAAGGTCAAAGAGGTGGTATGTGTATGCTTGATGTAACAGCACCTGACAGATGTTGACAATCTAGGTTAAGTAGTTTGACATGGAGTGGGGTAAAGTATGGTGGCTAAAAAGTGGTATAATTCTTATTCCTTAATTTTCTGAAACTGCTCAGTCTTCCATTTTTTTTCTCATTGAAAATAAAATCATTTTTTCTTATGTAATCAGGAAAAAGAAAAATTGCTTTCATTGTTTCATTTTGAAACTGATCACAATAAAAAGAATATCTGTCAAATATTTTTTTTAATTTTTGGTCACAAGTAATAAAATGAAATTTGTATAAATGTTCAATTGATGTTTCTAAATCATCACTTGGGGAAATCATAACAGTAATAAGCATTTGAAAGATTTTATAAAAGCTGTGCCAAGAATGGCTCTTTTGATTGGTGTTAAACAAAACAAAAAAAAAACAATGGTGGTCGGAGAACTTACCTGAATCTTTGTACTTACAATGAACAATAACAATATAAAATTCTTAATATTACCTATTCATATTTTTTTAATCATATTAGTATATTTGTGGGTACATTTTTAATAACAAAATCAGTCACTATTGTAAAAGAATAAAGCCATTTTTAAAAATAGCAAATTACCTGAAATATTTGATAAGAAATATCTAATAAAATTTTAGTGTGATGTTGTTTCCTTTTTAAAGATCATAGCCTTAATTATGAAATTATATTAAAAAGTTACCAGGAATAGCTATATTTTATTTTTATTTCCTTTTTTTTAATTCCAAAGTAGGACATCCATACAGACATTCATAATCTTGAATTAAAAAAAAAATCTGTTTTTGGTCAGGCTATGAATTTTACAGCCCCACTGTATTGTTTAAAGATTTCATTTAGTCACTCTAAAGATAATGCACCATTTGTTCCAATAAATAAAATTTCTTTGTGTATGGACTTTATTGCATAGTTGATATTAACATCACAAAGATATATTTTAAATTGCAAGTCAAACTGAACTTTTAATAAAAAAAATTGATTTCTTTTTTTATTTTTGTTATAACTTACTAGAAGCATCATCTAATTTCTAGAAAATTTAAAATCACTATTGCTAATGAACTGTCAGAATTGAACATATTTTTAGTCTATCTAAATGTTCTCAGGACTTGATGTGTTGAGACTCCTTATCTAAAAGATTCAAAAGTTTGTGTATATTGTGTATCTTTTAAATGCTATCTGAATTTATAAGATTAAGTATTAACACTTCATGAATTATTCATAATAAAATACTCAGTTTTGTTATATTTTGACCAAAAGTTGTGTGTTGCATAAAAGAATTTAATTCTTTTCACCACCTTATTGGACACATTGGATAATAGTGTGTGTATGTGAGAGAGAGAGATCAAATGTGACTGCTATACTGACTCAACTTTATAATATGCAATTATGTAAATTGTTCCAGTGATGAGAATAATTCAGATTATCAGGAATAATATACACTTAAAGGAAGCTGAAGAATCCAGAACAAAATGTAAATCAAAAAAAGAAGAAAAATACTTGGCTAATTCATGGAGTAATTGTCAATTTTAACTTTTAATGTTATTCTTTCCAATCATTTCCCCATGTGTTTCTTTCTGAAATTTTTTATTAATTATATTCTAGATTTCAATTGCGGAAACAAAGTTGAAAAAATTGCCCAAGCCCACTTTGTCACATTTACTTGCCATAGAAAGAGCATTGGACCATGTTTATGAATGTCATGGTTTAACAAAAGCAGAAACCCAACAAAGACAAATGTTTGTTCAGGAAGTTGAAAATTATTTGCAAAAAGATTTGAAAGGTAAATTGATTACTTATTTTAAGCTTTTTTGTGATGACTTTGTATTTTTACTTCAAATTTGTCTTCTAGCTTGTCTTTCTATGGCTAAAATAAAACAATTTTCCTCTTAACCAGAAATACTTACTTCCAACTGTTAGTGAATTTTTGAATTATCCTGTTCAATAGCTATTCCTAAAAGCTAACTTTTTCATATTTCAACACTTATTGTTCTGCATTCTGAGGTTATTTTAACCTTGAGGACATTTCTTCTGGTAAATGAAAGTTTGGAATTGATTCTTATTTCCTATGAAACAAAACTAAACCTCCACAACCATCACTTTACAATCACTTGATTAATCCATTGTATTTTAACACCAAATGAGACACTTTTGAAAAATTCTTAAGTGGGCTTCTGTAGTAAATGCATCAACGATATTTCTGTACAATTTTCAGTACAAAATTAATGTGCAAATTTTTTATACAATGGAGGATGAAAAAAAATCTTTTGAGTATTTAAAATCATTCATTATCCTTTCTGAAAATAAAATGGTATTTTTAAAAGATTCTAAATATATTCTATTCATTTTACAGGGTTGAAACTACATTTATATGGTTCATCCATTACTGGTTTTGGCCTTAAAAGTAGTGATGTTAATATAGACTTGGAAACACCCACTGGAATGAATTTAGCAAATGGACTGCGAATAGTATTTGAATGCCTCAAGAAATCAGGTAATTACTGATACTATCTGAAATGTTTTTTGAGTCTTTAGTTATATTGTTACGCCCAGGGTTTCGTTAGGAATATGATAGCCGGGACGCAATGAGAAAATAAAAAAATAAAAATAAGAGATCCCAGGGTTCAATGTAAAAATAAAAAAAAAAAGAACAGTGGGAGGGGAATTCTTTGAATCCAGACACTGGTAAATACAGCAAGAAATATACAATGTGTGGACACAGAACGATGAAAGACAAAATGAGAATTTATAATAGAAATAATTTATTTACAAATATACAAGATGCAAAAGTAAGATAAGAAAGAAATAAATGAAACTTAATAACCCAAGGGTTGGGGAGATGAGTAATCAGTTAGACAATATTAATGCGACAAATATATCATAGGAATATAGAGCAAGCAGACAATAAGATTTATATAAAAAAAAAAAAAACATGCAACACTCACAGTAGATGATGATCGATGTCAATCAGGATTTTCAGCAAAAATACAGTGCAACGAAAAAAGATGTTCATACATTCTTTTTTTTTATCAATGTTCTAATATATACATGTGAATCATAAAAGCGTAGCCAACTTGGGGGATGATGTTCTTAATTCTTCGGGTAGCAAACAGCAAAATTTGGTTTCGGTGACATCTATGTCTTCCAACTGCAAACGGCTGAGACAGATTCTGGGAGCAAGTGACTAAATGAAGTATTGTTATCCCAACACACGCGAAACAAAACTGTCATGTGCCAGCCTACGAAAATGCGCAAGCGTCATTCATGGAACACTGTTGGGGTCATCTCTACTTTTTGTCAAACAGTGTTTTTTCTGGCCTACAATCAAGAACCAGACAGTTAATGAGAGATTCTCTTCCGAGAACTGGCCCTGATTCAACTGGGGATAAAACAAATATATCCCATAATCTGCTTTTTCAAGATAAAGAAGTTATTATATTCCTATGTCTCGTTGCACATACACAATGTACTTAAAATATACTTATAAAATCTAAGGTGAGGGTACAAATATCGGGTTACTGTAACAACATACACGCACACTAATGTTCATCTAACACAAGGCCCAAGAGCCAGGTAGAGGGTTACTGTATGGTGTTGTATGAGGATGATTAATCTTCCATGTATGCGGCATGATGAGTCCCAGCTGCAAAGTCTAAGGCTGATGGAACCAATGGATGTAGCTCATCAGAAAACTTAACAAGAGGGTTACAGTGTTTCTGTTGGAAAGGGGTTGTACAATGGAAAATAATTCATCACCCACAAGGGCGTGTAGACCCTTTTGGGCTCTGTCAAGACAGGCAAGTGAAGACTGGACAGCTCTAACCCAGATATGGCAGCAATACTTCATTTTTATTCTGATCTGGCTCTTGTAAACATAGAATATTGCAGTGGGGGGTGTCAGATACTTACTGGAGCAGTACAAGTAACCAACCATATTCCAGCATCTTTAGCAATAGATTGTATATATGAGTCCCATTTAATGTCTGGGGTGAGCTTGAGTCCCAACAGATGTTCATGGCGAGAAGCCTCCTTGAGAGACTTCTGTTTTTGAAACCTGGTAATTCCTGTGTAACGATGGGACCATAATTTTAAATTAATAAATTTATAATATATATATTATATAAAAAATCTGGAATTATACATGTTTAGGGGTTCACCTCTTTTTACACAAATGAACTCACCCAGTATATACATATACTACTGCAAGAGTAAGACGAGAGCTAGACCTAAGATTCGAGTCGAGTTGAGTCCAGAGTGACAGAGTAAAAGGTTGCAGGTAACCGGAAGAGTGAGGGTGAGGTAACAGCGTTGTAGGAGTCACAGTGAACGAGCACATAGACTCAGTAAGAAGTCATACAGTGATACTTCAATACCAATATTTTGCGACTAACCCGTATTCCTGGAACTACTAACCTGCTTTACCAGTTTGTATTATTATGTTAGTACATTATTTTCATATATTAATTCCTGGCGTTTGTTATTTATTGGTACTGGATTTCATCCCGGAATCCACAATAATACATAAACATAGTTGAAATATATCTGTAACTGTGTTCTTAAAATTCTTCAACTGATAACACCTGGGGTTACAAATGAGTTAATACTGAAATATCATTACTTGTGATAACCCAGTTGAATCCTGTGATACCACCAAATTTTATCTATTTATTTACTTTAGGTTTTATCATTTATATAGCTTTAAAATGTGAGTGTCTTGATTAAAAAAAAGAAAAAAATATACAAAGCAGACTGATTCAGAACTAGTTCAGTATTATTTGCTTCCCCTGGCCGATTTTAGTTTGTTGGTGTAACAATGCACATGTTTTGGGGTATTAATACTTTATAAATATTACTTTTATAAATATTAACATTCCAGAATTTTCTCCCAGGCAACTTATCTGGGGCTGAAGCAGATGGATAGTATCAAACCTGTAATTTTCAGTACTTGCTCAGGTAGTTGTAAAAGCAGGTTGAAGTTTTCTTGGCTATAGTTGGTTTACTATGGGCTAAATTCAAGTTGCCTGCTCAATCATATTATCAATCATTATATTGACATTATACAATCTTTTGAACAGCTTCTTTTTCTTTATTCATCTGTGCATGCATGTATTCATAACTCCTGGTGTTTTCTATCTTTTTCCCTGGATTTGTAATAGGAAATAAACATGTATATATTATATCCAATGGGTCGTTGTGAAGCCTTGCTTGAGGATTCATAAACAAGATGGCTTCTATCCTCTCTTGTTAAAATTACTGCTATCAAATATTATTGACTTTCTACTTTTCAGTAAGTGAAACTGAAAAGTATGTAAATATTAATTCCTTATTGTATTTAATATGACCATTCCTGTTACAAACCATAAATAGTATATACTAATACTTTGTGAAGAAATTATCATTGTTTATAGTAACTCGGTAATTATTCTTGACTTCATAACATGTTACTTACATGAGTGTGGAAGTTATTTTTTTTAAACCTTTGAAAGATAATACTAATTCTATTCATATGTTATTTTAAAATGACTTTGTAATTTAGATGTGCAGATATCACTTAAATTATATATCAATACTTGTTATTTTTCTTTCAGACAAATACAAAGATGTTCAAAGTGATTTTCTGACCAAAGTCCCCTCTGTATATTTTTGCTCAAATGATAGTTATGCATTGAAATGTCAAATTACTGTGAACAGTTTGTTTGCCCAGCAGACTAGTCGTTTACTTTCAATTTATGGTGCAATGGATGAAACTGCAAGAAAACTTGGTGTGGCTTTCCGCTTTTGGTCTAAGGTTAGTATTTATGATTTTAATTTTGCATCATAAAAACTATTACTTCACTTCCTATTATAATGGTTATACAAAAGCTATAGCACAGTTGATTCTTTTTTTTTTTATTATCTTATTTTTATATTATTAAAGAAAGTATTTATTTTTGCTGTAACTTGTTCTGATCCTGTAGGTATATAACTAGTCTCTAGTATTGGATGCAGTGACATACTTAGAATTTCTTTTAGCTTAAAAAAATCTCATACACATTTACTTTACGTAAATGATAAATTTAATGCATTTACTTTTATTATATAGTTTTGTAGAATTGGTAATTTTAAATGTCACATTTAATTAGATCACCAACACCTCAATACTAATTTCTACTATTTAGCTGTTTAATTCTGTTAATTTTAACAATGCTTTAAATCCTATGCATATTAAAAAATTGAACAAAATTTATAGATATGAAACATAGTTTAAAGTTTGAATCTTGCTGTTTCTCCATTTTTCTTTATTAAATTTTTAAATTGGTACCCACATGTGATATTTTAAAATGACAATTCGTTTAACTATATTTTTCAGTTGTGCCATGTTGATTGTCAAGAAGAAGGAACACTGCCTGCCTACTGTACTGCTTTAATGACTGTTTATTTCCTACAAAGATGTCAGCCAGCTGTTTTGCCTGTGTTTTTGATAGTAAGATTTTAATTAAAATTCGATTTATCATAACTGCACTATAATTTTCACTGGAATTGGTTTATTACTTTTAACTGTTTTCGTTTCTGAAATCAGTTTTATTAAACTGATTCAGGGTTCATAATTTAGTTTGATATATTAGCTTTTGACTAAATGGAAAATTATCACTAAATAAAACTTGTAAAGTAATTGGCATTGCAGTTTAAGTAAAATTTTCTGTTCACAAAATAATTGAATATGCATAGATTTTTTTGTGGGGATGCTTTAGATACTTGTAAGTCATGATGGTTCAAAAATGGTACCAAATGTTAAGTAATGTGACAACCATGAATAAATTTTAAAAACTAATATCAAAGCTGCATACAAATTACATTGATTCACTATGAAATGAAAAAAAATGGTTTAATGCTTTTTTTTGGGTGGGGGTTTTGTTACTTTTACATCAGTACTGTGTCATACTGTTATTTGAAAATAAAGATTTGGCATTTTTGGTCAGTCTTAAATGAAAAGGTTAAATATATAAAGGAAGTAAATTTTAAAAAGCTGCTAGTATGTTTAGTTTCAGAAAAGTAATTGAAAAAATTGCTTTGATTTACTTTGCATGTTTGACAGCATATAAACATATTTAAACAAAAAATATAAGTTGGATGTACTTTTTAACATAATTTGCATTTGCTACTTTCAAATAATGAAGTTATTTAATATCAAACAATGAAAATTTTCAGATTTGTTTATACTACTTAAATCTTATTTTTATAGCAAACTGAGGAGGCAAGAGTTGGGCACATCTTTGAGCTGATACAAAAAATAGTAAGTAATCAGTATACCTATTACATCCCATTTTTATGTTCCTTCTACTTTTTTAACTTCAAGCACAAATTGTTTTATTTTTTGTTGTTCAATTTCACAGTGATATATAATTTCTAATATTAAATAGAAAGTATTCAAGTAAAATACTTGTAAAATTTTCTTTTGGAAAAGTGTAATCATTGAAGTATTCTTTTAATTTTATTGAAAATTCCACAAAGTTGCTGTCATTTTATATACATATTTATTCAATGTGATTTTTTTTTCCATGAAATTGAATGTATAAGTCATCTTAGACTTTTTCAAAGAAAACAACAATGATTATTTCTTCATGCTTTTAAAGTTTGCATTACAAAATTTTGAACATGGAAAATTAGCAAAATTTGCAATATATATAATTAACAGTCAAATGCATTAAATTTAATGCATCAAACCACAAATTTCCTATCAGCCAATTATAAATGGCAAAGATTTGATTAGTACTTACAAAATGGATAGTTTTGTATTAAATAACTTTTTCACAAATGGAAAAGCTTATTTACTAGTATTAAACTATTTTTCTTAATAGGGGCAGAATTTTAGAACTACAAACACAATGGGTCTTGGTGAGTTATGGTTAGAGTTACTCAAGTTTTACTGTCAAGGTTTTGATAGTTCCAGAACTGTGATTTCTATTAGGCATGATGGAAAATTGACTCGTGCTGCTAAAAATTGGAGAACTAAGCGGCTTGCGATCGAAGGTGAGGATAAAATTCTTTGCTTTCTTAACTTTAACATATTTAATGAAATTTTATCTTAAGGTAACTTAACTGTTTAATTTTTTTTTTTTTTTTAATTCTATTTATAAATTTTTACAAATATACGGTTGAGAAATTTCAAAACCTCTTTATAATTATACATCATTCTTTTTTAAACTTTGAAATTCATTTGAAATTTTAAAAAATTCCTTTTTTTTTTTTTTTTTTTTTTTTTTTTTCCCAGATCCATTTTCTACAAAAAGAAATATTGCCAGATCAGTCAGTGGAGGAAAAATCTTTGAATATTTTCAAGATTGTCTAGTAAAGACCTGTTTATATTTTGGCTTCCCTCGTTATCAAGCAAATGGGAAAACTGACTCTTCTAACTACAAGAATAAAAGTACATCAACTGCTAAATCCAATAGTAAAGTGACAGTATCACAGCCTTTGAATTGTAATAGAAACAAAGAAGGAACTGTAATAAATTCAAAGGAAACAAACTCTGTAAAACTATGTAACAGTAATCAAGATGAGCACCTTGAGTCCATTAATGACTTCCATGAACCTTGTAAAGAAGGTGGTAGTAGACAAACATCCTATGCAACTTTGCAGCATGAAAAAGATAATACATCGTCTGTAGTGGCAACTCTTAAGGATTTTGTTATTTCGGAAAAAAGTAACTCTCAGAAAAACTTAGAACAAAGTCAGAAAACATTACATGCTGATCAAGACTCAGCAGGACCACTACACTATATTTTCTCAATTGAGAATTTGTCTGATGGAAAGGTAAGTGTTTAGTTTTTTATTTATAGTGAATTGATTCATAGATGTTTCAATTTGAAATGAAACTGGAATAGATCAGTTTTTTCACTTTAAAAAGATTAAAAACTGGTGCTTATATCTAGGAATATTTTAATCATTTCACCCTAAGCAAGGCAGGAGTGCCACTAGCATGCAGGGTGGATTACAGAGAGTGAAAGTGAGAGAAAAGACTGGGTATAGGAGGTATTGAGGAAAGGATAAAAGATGAATGGGGATCAAGGCAGCAGAAGATGGTGATTGATGTTGCATTTAAATTTTTGAAGATTGTAGTTATCAGGGAAGCAAGTATCTGGAAGGGAGTTCCACTGTCGGAAAGTGCGAGTAAAGAAACTATTGGAGTAGAAGTAGTGGATACATTTAACTATTTCAACAGTAAAAGGGTGGGACCTAGATGCCAATCTAGTAAAACTTAAATTTGTATAGTCAAGGCATCAGAGCAGTTGCCATGAAAATATTTGTAGAAAAGACAGAAGGAAGTCATATATCTGAGAAAGTTAAGATGTCAAGTCAGGATTGATTACATTTCAGATCCTTCATTGGATTTTGTCAAGAACCCCAAACTGAACAGCAGGGGCACCAGACCAGATATGGTAACAGTATTCAGTGCATGGAACGAATAGTAGATTTGTAGATGAGTAAGATGGACTCTGACAAGAAAAGCCTTTTGGCATGACACTGAACCAACTTTCCTTCAAATTCAATGTCGTTGTTCCACCTCAAGTCGGTTGAAAACATGAGGCCAAGAAGGCACAGTGAGTGAGATGCTCTCCTGGAGTCAAGCATCAACCATGCTGATGGTGAGCAGGGAAGTTTCTCTGTGGTTGTTAAATGAGAGCTGTTTAGTTTTGGTGCATTAAAATTTATGAGCCATTTCCTGCCCCAGTTAACCACTGACTGGAGGTCCTTTTTGAGAGCAGCACTTCCAGATTTACTATTGAGACAGGAGTAAATGGTAGTGTCATCTGCATAGATGCCTACTTGGGAACTGATGATATCAGGAAGATCATTGATGGAGATCAGAAACGGTATAGGACCCAGGATAGAGCCTTGGGAAACACCAGCATTCGTATGAAAGGATCTGGAAGAAGGCCTGTTCAGAACGATCTTCATTTCATGATTTGATAGGAATGATTGGATTAAATCAAATAATCAATGGATGTAAGCATATCAGGAGTAGACTGGTCAAAATGGAATCCATATTGTTTGTCAGAGAGTAGGCTGTGAGAGGTAAGATGCTTAACCACTTTGGCATTGATTAAAGCCTCGAAGACTTTTGCCAAAAAGTGGTAGGAGACTGACAGGGTGGTAGTTAGAGGAGTCAGAAGGTTCTCCAAAGTTCTTAAAAACAAAGACTACAGAAGAGGACTTCCAACAAGATGGAAAGTAGGAAGCAGTGAGGCAAGAGTTGTATAGTTTGGAGAGAAATGGAGCTAATTTAGGAGCGCATTTCTTTTGGACAACAGCTAATATCCCATCACCTCCACTTACCTTATTAGAGTTTAATTTAGAAATGATGTCAGACAAGTAACAAGGTTATGCACATATCACTTGGTAGAGTTTCAGTTCTAGGGGGAAATCAGGTGTGGGTACTCTGGATGAGTTGGGTTGGAGGAGAGTTTCTGAGCAAAGCATTCAGCCTTATCAGCCTTAGATGTTAGGATTTTGAATTGATTGAATAGAGGAAAGATTGGGGATTTGCTGTTCTTCAGCACACTTTTGCAGAGCTGCCATTAATCTCTAGGACCAAACTGGTTTCATTCTATCAGCAAACAATAACTTTGCTTCATTGGGGACTTGCTTGAACTTGTTATGAGCAAAGAGACAGCTGTTGCAGTCAGACATGTTGCCCTGGTACAGTTGGAAGAAGTGATTCTTGTGGGCTATAGCAGGTGAGAACAAAGAAGATGAATGCAGTTTAACTTGGTATTTCCTAGCTGGAATGAAAGTATCGATGCCGGCTTTCACCCAGGAAGAGACCTTTGATGTGTGTTTTTGAATGGGATGATTAAAAGCTGCATTCCAAAAGATGTCACAAAGGAAATTATGGAACAAGTCCCAATCTGCCCATTGATAACAGAAAGATATTCTGTTGGTAGGAGGTTCATAGCTGGTGGGGGAGTGGAAGGAGATGTTTACTGACACTATTGTATGATCAGAGTTGCCAAGAGGGCAGAGCTGCATAGCATGACAAGAATCATGGAGAAAGGTAAAAAAAAAAAAAAATCGAGAAGAGAAGTGTTTCCGTCATGATTACTGGGGAAACACATAGGAAAGTCAACTACTTGTGTGAGAGATTGGGTGATTGAAAAGTTAAAGGCTTTTACTGCCAGTAAAAGTAAATCAAAGTGTTTAACCAAAAATTTTACAGGCGATAATAATTGTTTTTATAAAATTCTCTCCTTTACTACTCTCAGTGACACATCGCCTGAGACAGGTTTTTCAATAAATAAACACTTGTCAACTGTTATTTCCAGTATTTTAAGCTGAAAATTGCCTATTACTTTTTTGGAACAAGGCTAAACTTCTATTTTCCAACGCCATTTTCAATTCTTCTAGAGTATACGAAGTATAACATCAATTAAACCCACGTTAATTTTTTTTGTGATTTTTTTTTGTAAGCAAAAATGGCCATGTCAATATCCAACAAAGCCTTTATTCAGGAGTTTTTCTTTGATTAACACTCCGAGGATGATTTTGAAGGCTTTACTTGAGTGGATATTGACAGTGAGGTAGTCAGAGATGATAACCATGCTAGTGACGTGGAGGAAAGCAATGATGTTGACCACTAGTGGTTACTATCATCTCTGCCTGAGTAATTTTATGGAAGCTACTGATGACCATCAATATATCTGATAGCATTTCTGGAGGTGAATTATTTTGTCTATTTATAAACAACGAAATAATAACTATTTGTCAACGAGACACATAATTATGAGTCAGGTGAAAGAAAGAACAAACAAATGCTAGTGTCTTCTTGTATGTAAACATGAGGAAAGATGTTTCACTTTTTTGACAAAATGAAAGCCTTTTTATCGATTTTGCTTCTTATTGCACCCCCAGAACTTCATAAGTAGTAATAAAAGTTAGTCTGTTGAATTATTTATGTATTTTTAATGTATTGGTTTTTATTTCACATTTTTTATGTTTTCAATGTCAAAACATGCATGCAAAACAATGCATTACATCAAAATATAACTCATTCATTCTTTTATTAGTTTACAAAAATTAAAATCTATATGAACAATACAAAGAAAGTTATAACAATTTTATAATGGCAGGTGTTCATGTTTTTGCACCCTCAAAAAAAAAAAAAAATGCAGTGGCAGTGGGGAACAATTCTAGAAAGAAATTAGCCTGGTAAAGATTAAGCCATCTGGTATGGTGGACATTAAAGTCATAACAATTTTGCTAAATCTATTTTTGAAAATGGGTACAAAATGACCTGTCTATATTATTAAAATCTACTTAATTCTCACTTTGAAAACAGTCTTGAGAAGAAAGGGATAAAAAGTAAAGAAAGAAGAGATTTTTGACTGAATTAAGTAGAGAGACGGAAAAAAAATGCGAATGGTAATGAAAAAAAAGAGAGTTTCCAAGCCAGTGAAAAAGGAGATGTTCATTCATAAATTAATGAAACTCCTAACGCCATGCATGTGAATTTTAGAGTCCTTTCTAATTAGAATTAAAGCCAGGAATCAAGAAATCAGAGGATGGGACTGAAGAGTTGAAAAGGTTAGTTTTTGCAGAGAGTTCAAAGATTATTTTTTCAGAGTTACTTTTGTGAAGATTTTTCAGAATGACTGACAAAACACTACAGAAATTAAATTACAATTATAACAAATGTTAGAGAAATAAAACATTGAGAGGTTTTTGGGTGATTTTTGTTGAGATGGTTTAAATTTTATCTTTGAGTGTTTAGTCATGATGTGCCATATTGGTAAGGAAGATAGTAAATTTAGTAGGCCATCAAAACTTGAAAAATGAAGAAGGAACATCATATAAATTGTTGCTTAGTGTTGTTTTGGATTGCCACTGGAGGTGATTGCCAGGGACACTGTAAATAATAAATGGATTATTCAAGAACCCCCAATATGCAACTGTCGATCAGAACAGCCTCTCAAGACCCTATGCAAGAGTTTGGGTTTTAACTGCCAGTTGGGAACAGCAACTAGAAAACTGCCAACTCAATACCCTCAATATGAAGAGACATTGCCACCAACCATGCGCATCACAAGAAATTCATGACTGTACCACTATTAAAACCTGATAAAAGGAAAGGAACTGGGAACCTCTTCCTAAACAAGAGATGAGCCTATAACCCTGTTCAAAAAAGGGGGAGGAGTTTGGACTAGGTGATAGGAGAGCCTATCTGTATAGACTTACTATTAACATATAATAGGAGCAAAGAAAGAAAATTTGTACTTGATAAAGAACTGCCATTTACAACTTTGTTTACCTTTATATATTTTGAGGATAATGGCATTTTGACATGGTGTAATGGTTAGCAAACTTTACTTGTTAGGTAATTTATGATTAAGTGGGTGCTCCATACTTGTGGCCTTGTACCACATCTTAGCTACACTTAATATATTGCTATATTCTGAGGATAGATCATTTATAGGCTAATTATTTTATATAAATGAGCATTTGCAATCAAATCTTATTTGGAACATTTTATAAGTGGCTAAGTTCATATAAAATAATCTCTAAAAGTTGGGAATTAAACCAAGAAAAGCAAAAATTACATCTAATTTCCATTCTCTCCTTTGAAATAGTTCTATGAACCAGAATACAGGCTTACAAAAGATACTAGCAAATGTCATACTATTAGGATGTACAGAAAGTAATTATATATTTCACTGCTATGAATTAGGCATTAACCAACCAAAGCAAAACCATGGTTGAATGGTAAGAGATTTTGTCTAGAATTAGTTTCTTGTCTTTTTTTTCTCTGATAGTGTGTCATTTATAGTGCAGTTCTGTGTTTAACTTCATGGAGAATTAGAACTTTAAAAATCAATACATTTGTACAATGTATACATTTGCAAGGAAGGCTAGTTACTAGTGGTTTAAAAATGGCAATTATGATACATCCGACAAGCCTTGATCTGGAGAATGATCCACTTTGAATGAAGAACTTTTGAAAGTCTCTTGAACTTGATGCAAATCAAAGCAAGAGAGATTTAGTACAAAAATATTGTCATTCAACTGTTCATTAATGTCTCGAACCAATTAGGAAAACTTCCATAGATGGATTTTTCTTGAGCTTTTTCTTCAGTAACATTCCACTATCTGCAGTAGTATTTTAACCAGGAATACCAACCTTTCAAAGGTTTCCTATTATTGAGGTGACCAAAAAAAATGGGTTTTAATGTTAACAGAAAAATCCAAAACAAAAATTAAAAAAGCAGTGGTTATTACAAAATGAAAAACCAAACCCAGGACTCTATTTATAGATGTCTTTGGTTTGTGCTTGTGGAATATGTAAGATACAGTATTTCAAGATACTGAAACATGAAAAGACCACTGCAGATGTTTATTGTCAATAGCTTGATTTGGTGAACAAAGTATTATGTCCTGCTTTGTTAAGCAGAAAAGGTGTTATTCTCTGGCATAACAATACAACAGGATACTCTTCAAAACAAACCCAGGAAAAAATAAGATTGTTAGGACAGGTAATTTTTTCACATTCTCCATACTCACCAGATTTAGCATCTACAGATTTTCATTTGTTTTGATCACTAGGACATTTCATAAGTAGCAGCACAGTCAGAAACAATGCAGTAAAAAAGTAATTACTTTCTAAAAACCTGAACATATTCTGTTTGTACATGCTGTTCTAATTATGAGTCATCCTTGGAATGCACCTCATAGTTGATATCCAGAAAATACCAAGTTTTAGAATTAGCAGTGACTTCTGTCCAAATAATTATTTTTGTGTGTTTTATTTTCTCTCTCTCTCTCTCTCTCATTTTTTTTTTTTTTTCTTCATGTCCATTGGGTAAAAGCCCAAAGCTAGTCTGGTTTATCATTACTATTGAATAGTGAATTCAATCCTCACTGGGTCCCAGACTTGTGACCTTGTGCCAAACTAAGTTTAGCTTATTAAACAGTAGACTTCTAATTTTGTCTTTCATACAAATTCTTATTGTATGCATGGGGATCTTTACTTCAACAAAATGATGACAGGTTTAAATTTATGTGTTTATGATGGAGGGCTGAAAAGTCCTTGACTAAACTAATTTCCTATAATTGGTATTTCAATGGCCAAGCAGCAGAATACTTTTGAGAAATGGATCAGGACAAGAACTTTTCAGCACTGTTTTATAGATAAATATTAAACTCCACCAATTAAAAAAATAGTGTCATTTACATAAAAAGTACAAGATTTAGTACTTAACTAAGTTGGCATGTATCTAGGCAAGTAACCCTGTAAAAATGGATATGAAACAAAACAGAAAACTCACACTTTTGGTTTGTGTTATAAATAGACATATCAGATGGAACAAGAACAACACCCCAGTTTTGAAAAAAATTATGTTTTAACATTCAAAAATTATTTATAATGTTATATTTTCCAATGTTTTTATTTTATTTGTCTATAAAAGACTAATGTTATTTTATAAAATATATTAAAATTTGACATTTGCTAAGAATATATGATGTGATACTAAACCTAAAAATAAGTTAGGGTAAAAGTAATAAGAAAAAAATTTTAGAGTTATAACATGAAGAAGTAGTGTTTTAGAAAAAAAAAACTTTAAAACTTTATTTTTAATGTGTTAAAATAAATTACTAGAGAAATTGCTTTGACAGTTTGATTTTGACAGATTTATGTAAGCTGGGATATAGTTCTAAAATTAATATTGTAGAAATTATTGTTGAAAGCAAGGAATAAATCTATTTTAAGTTTAACTCGTTATTGTTAACTACAAAACCTCTAATTATATTTGAATGCATCAAAGTGATCTTTTTTTTTTTTTTTTAATTTATTCCCTTTTAATGGTTATTATACAGTATACATAAGCAGAACTTATTTAATTGAGGATTTTCTTAGAGTGGTTGTGAAGGTCAACCAGTATAATTTGAACTATTTATTACACCTTGATATCCTACCTATTTGATTTCTGTAAGTTTTACTTATTTCAGTAAGTGAAGCAAACTAATTTTTTTTTTTTTTTTTTTTTTTGAAAACGATACCACATTAGTTATATGGCCTAGTTGGAATTTGTGAGACTGAACTATTTATAGAGCATTCTTTGTTTTATGAAGTAAGGTCAAAATCATTTATAAGTTTTCCAAATGTTAAAATAAAAAAAAAATGCTTGTGTATGAGTAGGCTCTTAGAGAAGAATTGTTGCATTAATAAAGCTATATAGCATCAATTTTTAATGATGGTTTGGGATTTGTTTTGGTGAAAAGAATTTTTATCAAGAATAAGATTGATCTATGAAAATCTGTATTCCCACTTACCTTTTGTTGTATTGTATGGCTGGCTGCTCATTTCTGAGTATGCCTGTCTGCTAGGGTTGCTAGCTAATCCCTGCTGCATATGCCTGCTCAGACATATTTGTTTGTTCAACACCTATGGAGTCAACTTGTGGTTTATACTGCAACTATGCTGAGCAGACCTTAGTTACAGTTTCTGGGAGAGAGTGCATAATTTGGCATGACCACCAGTTTAAATAAGGTCAGTATGCTCATACTCCCAATTCCTTTTCAAACACATACTATATTAAAATGATGATTTTATTTTATTTTTTTTTTTTTTTTATAGTAAAAAAAAAAAAAAAATTTTTTTAAGATGCTACAATATAGTAGTTAAATCAGAACAATCTATTAATTTTGTTGCTTTTAAATCTGCTTTTATTGATTTTCTGCTTTAGTATTTAACAGCATGTAATATAAAAAGGAACAAATGCTACTTTTTTTTTTTTTTTTTTTTTAAGAACTTGAACTGTAAGTATGAAATTTTGAAATGTGTAAATTATAAAAAATTGGCTTAACAAGAAGTTTTTTTTCTTTATTCTTGTACTATATTCAAAATGAATTATATTTTTGTCTGTTTTTATTTTTCATAAGGGACCAGCCATAATTTGCAGCATCTGTGAGAAAGAAGGTCATTTGAAAAACAATTGTCCAGAAGAAGAGTTGCCACCTTTATTACCATTACCTGCTATGACGCAAGAAAGCCTGCAACTTCTTAATGATACTTTATTACAAATCCCTAGTAAGTCATTTTTTATATTTATATCATTTTAGGTCAGAATGAAATTTTCTACAGATTTTAGTCGTTAAGTCTAAGAATTTAATCAATTAGCTACAAACAGGTTTTCTTTTTGTTATTAGTGCTATATAGCCAATTAAAATGCCTAGAATTAACTAATTGCTCTGTTGTACTTTTTTGCTTATTTGGAGACATTTGTATTGTTTTTTTTATTTCTTTTGAAAAAAAACTTTCAATGAATAAATTTGTAGCAGATCATTTCAAAGCTTTATCTGTGGCATCATTCCTAAGAACTTGTATTTCATTTAATATTGTCCTAAAATCATTTTCAAATTATCAATTGAAAGTTAAATTAATGCTTTACTTTGCATTTTGTATAGAAGATAGCACAATTTAGCAATTCTTTAGAGCAAGATTTTATTACACTATTGATAATAAATGGTATCCTTTGTATGCAAATAAACTTTGATAAAACTTAAGAGTTTGCTCTTAAAGTTATGTGTTTACATAGGTACATAAATAAGCCTACATTCTAATATCCTTTCTTGCCAATGCACTTAAGTCACTGGTGAATGAATGGTAATCACATAGATTACACATATAATGAAAATTTAAAGTGAAAATTAGCTAATAACTATTATCAGTTTACAATTTTATTGATTCACACTTTTGAGAACCTATAACTCTTTCCATTTTTTGCCATCCAACAATCTTTCACATTAGTTTATTGAAAGTTATAACTTGTGATCCAATAGGCTAGATGATTAACTGAGCATCTGCACATCAACACTTCAATGTTTCTGCTGAATGTTTACTTTCAATATCTCTTTTCATATCTTGTAATAAAAAAAAAAAATATTACATTAAAAAATAACTAAATTATTTCCACAGAGGATTTTGGGCCAACGGTGTTTGATACTGAAGAACGTAAAATAATTGTAAAAGGTCTTGAATGCCTTATCAGAGAGCGATATCCAGGTAATTTAAATTTTTTTTTTACTAGCTCATTAATGATTAGCTCATTTCCCCACTTTTATAAGAGTAGATTTGTTGCTATTATTTGTTCTACATAAATATTCATTAAAAAAAATTGCAAGTACCATTTTTGTTTTGTTTGGTGCCAAAAGACCTTAACATTTTTATTACTTGTTAAGCACCAAAGGAAACTTTGATGCTGAATGTGTTGAGCTTAAATTAGCATAATGATTGTACAACTTTAATTTTTGATAATTTTGGTCTGCTAGTATTGCAAACAAAAACTGTAGGAAGCAATATCACTGTTTTTAAATTTTACTAATGCTGCTATGTTTCTGAGCAAATTATTTAGAAAAATATACAGAGCTTTCAGAGTATTAATTCAATAGTTTATAATTCATTTTTTAATAATTTCATTCAGAGGCTAGTCTTCATCTGTTTGGTTCATCTTGTAATGGATTTGGATTCCAAAATAGTGACCTTGACATCTGTATAACTTTTGGGAATCACCCAAATGCTGATGTAAGTAGCATTTAACACATTCTTTGCTAAGCAAATAAAAACTTCAATAATTTACTTGTTCTGAATGTAAAATGACTTTATTTTTAAGTTTAAAAATCAAAGTGTAATAACTTTTTTTATTCTAAAAATTGATGGTTGAACAATAATGGTTCACAGCAAATGGTTATGTCTGAAGAGCACAATTTGCTAAACTGAAAAATGCTTTTACAATTGGACTTTGTAAAAATATTTTTCTTCTATTAAATGTAGTATTTTTTCTTTTACATTATAAAATCTTATGTTCACATTTGTTAACTAAGCCAACATATTTGTGGTACAATTCTAAACTCAATCTTATATAAAGTTGACTTCATTTCTTATCTCAAATAAACTTGTTTCAGATAAACCAATAAAGTTGGTGAGGTTCTGATTTTAAGAATATTTGCAAGGAAATAAAATATTTCTCTTGTGTAGCATCAGTCAACATCAAGCAACTTTATTATTATTATTATAAAGTTATTATAAGCATGATGAAGCCAAATTGTATTTCAAAGAATAATTCCTCTGCATGACAAATGCTTCAGGTTATATGCATCATTCAGTAATAATACAATGGGAAACTGCACTGTTCAAAAGTAATCAGCAATTTTTTCCAGAAATAAATTGTTTGAAACTGCATTACATTAACAATTATGAATGAAAATGAACTGAAATTTGATATGGAATTTGAATTTTTAAAACCTTGCCTAACTTCAAAAAGTGTTATTCTTAAAATATCATGTTTATTTAATTTCCATTTAGTTTTCATTTGGAGAGCATGAACATACAGCCTCAGAATACATTCTTGCAACATTTCATCATAGTCACAGTAAAATATTCTAAAGTAGCCTTAGAGATTAAGATTTGTATGAATTAATTGAAAAATTAAAAAATCCTAAATAGAATTCATATTTTTAGGAAGTAATGTCAATAGGAATCATTTTTGTTTTACTCTTTACTTTTTTGCTTACTTAATGCATAAAACTATATTTAGACAATGACCATTTAATATTGACATTGATCTTAATCCAAATTTTTGTAAATCGATGTATATTTTAATTTTTTTTTTTTTTTTTTTTTTTTTCCTAGGGCCTTGATTGTGTTTCAATTATTGAAAGCTTAGCTCAAAAATTACGAGAAAACAAGCAACTCTATGGTGTGGTTGCCATAACGACAGCCAAGGTTCCTATTGTCAAATTTAAACTAAAGAACAGTAACTTGGAAGGAGATATCAGTCTCTATAACACCCTTGTAAGTATACTCCATCTGTTCGGAATTGAATATCACATTTTATGTAACTTTATTCTCTTAACGGATAAAAATATCTTGCTCTAAGTTCTTCTGCATGAAGCAGTCTTAACTACACTAAGGAGAGGAATAATAATAGTAGTAGTAATAAAAAAAAAAAAAGTATAACCTAATTACTCATTTCAACATCTGAGCAAACATGTTGGCTATTTAATTTTTACTTTTCAGTTTTTATTGATATTAGTATTTTAACATATCCTGCATTAGTATATAAAGGATATTATTTTTTATTATATAATTGCAATATTTTTTAAAACATCAAAAAGAAGTTAACAAGTCATACATGCACCAAACTGGCTTTGTTCAACTTTTTGAATATTTCATTTTTTTGATACAATGCTTCATCAGAATTTTTTAATTTAGTTAATATATTTCTTTTACATTTCTTTATATTCTAACAATTTTCTCGTTATGTGCATTCTCCACTTTACAATGACATCTTCATCTTCAGAATAAAAGATAGCAGAATCATTGATGAATGTACTGAATAAAAAAATTGTGAAAATGCAAAGGAAATACATTAAATAAAAATTCTGATGAAACTTAACATTAGAAGATGAGCAAAATATTAAACATATTGAAATACTACCATATAGTTCTGACCAGTTTAAATATAAATTGTTTGCTTACTGTATAACACCTTTTGCTGCTGTCTACACCTGGTGGTGTAATCACTTTGCAGTGGTCCGGTCCTTAGAATAACATTTTAACCATGGGGCTAACTCTGCAATTGTCAATCTTGATGCTAGTCCATCTGGTTGTTGGTTGCTGTGTTCTTGATCTCAGAGCAGTGTAAAATTGGAGTTTGTGGTCTCACAGCACTGGTTCAAGCTGTGGTGGGTGCTATATTAAGAAAAAAATATCTTCACGACAAAAAATAAAATGAGAGATCCGTGGGGTTAAACTTCAGTTGGTTTATATAGCTCTTGGTACAACAAAAATTAATCCTTCTTATATCAATCTCTATAGTGACACTGGGCCTTGTCTAAACTTTTTTCCAATTTCCCAAGAAAAAGAAAGAATGCCATTTTCCAATTTGCATTAGCCACATGCCAGATTTTTGATAGATAAAAAAAGTAAACTCTTGGTGCATTGTTCCAATTTGTAGGGGTGAGGCAACCCAGATGGCCCTTTCTCCACTTCCATATTACCAGGGAAAAGGTCTTCTATTCTCTTCCAGTTTATATTTCATTTTAGGCTTAACCCTTTTTCTGCTTAGAATTAATGTTTAACCACTTCACAATCTCAGTGTCACACAGAAAAAGATGTTGCTAAAGAATTAAACTAAAAAAACATATTTAAATTTTATAGATATTAACTTTAATTTGAAGCTATTTATCAAATAGCTTCAAATTGAAGCTAATAAAATTTTACATTAAAAATTTTCTTTGACTCAAAATTTTAAACAAGATGATTATTATCAATTCCTACCTGTTTTTACTTTTATCATAGAAACTGAAATTGATTTCTGAATAAATAGTCCTGTTATTGTTCAGTGACTTTTTTTACTCTTTACAGGCTCAGCATAATACAAAATTACTAAAAATGTATACAAAAATTGATAGTAGAGTTGCAATACTTGGTTATGCACTTAAAGTCTTTGCCAAGGTAAGTATTATTATACAAGTTTGTAACTTTTCTTGTTACTTTTTAATTTCAGTTTTTATTTTTCCTCAATTCAGCTTCTGATGTGCATGTCAAAACTTAGGATCAAGTGTAGTCAAATTCAACTTTGTGCAGTTGGTTATGTAAATCAAAATCAAATACTTTAAAATATGTTAATGCTACTTTCTTGAATTTGCTACTCTTTCTCATTATTTGCAATATTTACAAAATGGAAAAAGTTTCTAAATTGTAAGGACATTTTAAATTTGATAACGAGCATTTCAGTTTTGGTGTTTACTTTCTCAATATTTATGATGGCATGGTTTGAAATAAATATTTGAAATGTAATTGCATATATTCTTTAGTTGAATGCTTTTAAGAATATAAAACAGATTTGTGTAATTAATGAGTTGTTTTATAATATAGTTTTACTTTTAAACAAACTTTTTTTCTCTTTTAGGTTTGTGAAATTGGAGATGCCTCAAAGGGTAGTCTTTCCTCGTATGCTTACATCCTCATGTTGCTACACTACTTACAACAGTGTGATCCTCCAGTGATTCCTGTTTTACAAGAGGTGAATTAAAATCACTTTGAAAATCTACCTTTTGCCAATAAAATTTCTTTTTCAAACTCTGCAACTATTTACTAGATATATTATTGTAGTAAAATTTTTTAAAAATTGTGTGACTATTATATATGATTGTAAACTGAATTGCTTCTTTTTTGGAAATTTTTTTTTTCCTATTATTCATGTTGAGTTACACAAACTTATATATTTTCTTAAAAGAAGTTTTTTAAATTGATTTAGAGAAAGATGGAAAATCAATTGACAAATTTGATTTTATAATTTTTTTTTTTTTTTTTTTTTTGTTTACTTATAAAATGTTAGATCAGGGCAAAAGTTTTTAGCATTTTTAAGTGAATTTCAAAGACAATATTTAGATATTTGTAAATAGTTTTCTTCAATCACATATGTACCATTTTATTCTATCTTTTGCATTCTTTGAGGCAGCTTCACAATTGCATCCTCTCAGAATTTGTCATCTTTCTGGGTAAAGAACTGGTCTGGTTTTTATAGGCTTCCAGAGAATTGAACTTGTTCCATCAAAGAATTTTTGTAGGACTTGAAATCTGTGTTAATCAGAAGGTGTACTGTTAAGTGAGTACAGCAAGTGTAGTAGGACATAGTAGCCAAGCTGCACCAATTTCTGCCAGACATGCAAAGAAACTGTGTGGCCTGGCATTGTGCTGATGGCAGCCAACACTCTTCTGATTTGACAATTTCAAATGCTTTTCATCGATTGTTGGCTTTAATCGATCCAATTGAGATCAGTACTTGTTTGATTTTTGTGGAAAGAGCTTTTAATGCACAATAATCTTCCAATCCTACCCATTACAATATCACCTCCTTTGGATGCAAATTGACTTTTGAAGTGGTTGACAATGGCTTATTTTATTTCCCTCAAGACATTTTTTGCTCCACATTGTTGTAAATAATCAATTTTTCATTGCATACATTCTTTGCAAAAATTCTTTTGTTGTGTTTGAGCAGAGAATCAGTTGGGCATGCAGTTAATTAAAACGACCAAACATTGTAGAAATTCACATATTCAAGTGTTTTCAAATGTCTTACAATGCAAACATGAGATATGTGGAGTATCTCTGAACTGTCCCATTTCATGTAACCTAGATTATTGTTTTAATCAGTGTTTCAATTTTATCATCAACTGTAGGCCTGCTGGAATGTTCTCAGATTTTTGATTCTGAGCTTAGCAAACCACTTATGAACAATAATCACAGCAGCACCATTTCCATAAATGGTACATATCTTTTTTTTCCCCTGTTTGTATAGCATTTTGTTCACTTTCTGGAGAGTATCAAATGATGAAATCTCCTTTTCCTCCAGTTTCACTTCTAACATAAAAACAATTAACATTCACAATTCACACACAAATCATAAAGAGAAATAAACTAAATTTTTTATAAGAATTTTCATGACATTGTGTTCATTAATATATTTTTCATTTTATAAAAAAATTTAAGATTATTCTGTAAAACAAAACTTCTAAATTTGAATATTAACATTTTCAGATTTTAGTAAAATGGATTATCAAATATAGTAAATTAATTTACAGGTTCATTATTTGTAATACTGATTACATTTATGTATACATTCCCTGATCAAGTGCACATCAACACCTTATGATGTACTTTCTTGGTTACATGATTTCATGACCTATAACTTGCCATGTGTTTAATAATATGTTGTCTTCATTTAATCATGTCATGTTATTGAATAAGAAACATATCCCTTTACTGTAGCATCCATGATCCTCTTTGGCCATCCCTATACTTTAAAATAACTGAAACACATGTAACCATAATCCAACATATTTATGAATAGAAAAAGGAAAAAAATTGTTGAAAAACTTGCTTTATTGAATATATTACAGTACTCTCTAATATTTATTTAATACTCTTTAAAACCTGTTGCATACAATTATCAGTAAATCAAAAGAAAAATTGTTTTATCTATTTCAGTTACATGAGGGTGAGAAGCCTGTCACTATGGTAGATGGTTGGAATGCTTGGTTTTATGATGACTTTGACAATTTGGTAAATGCATGCATTTTTCTTTCTTTTTGTGTATATTAAAATAATGATAAATGCAAAAAACAAACTTGTTTTTAATTCTTCTAAATAAAACATGTTTTGAAATTTCTTACACAATTTGATCAACTTGACAAAAATGCATCAATCAACTTCAGAAAATCTTGACTCATCTGTTTGGAGTATGTAAATATAGCTGTTCTATTATTTTATTAACAATGTACATTTCAGTATGCCTTTTTAGTATTTCCATTGAAATTAGTAATATATCAACAAACCAAAGTTAGTTTTGTTATGTTCTACCAGAATTTTTATTTATTTTTTTTACATAGAAAAATACTTGGAAGCACTATGGCCAAAACAAGTTATCTGTTGCAGAGTTGTGGATAGGATTGTTCATTTTTTATACAGAGAAGTTTAACTTGCAAATGGTGGTCACAATTCGTCAACATTCACCATTGACAAGATTTGAGAAACTTTGGAACGGGAAGTGTTTAGCCATTGAAGGTTTGTATTTAATGACTTTCTTCTAAAAAATTGCATATGTTTTCTGGGTCATAGCATTTCTATAAATTGAAATCTAGTGTTGGACAAGCAATATAGATTTTAATTTTTGATGCTTATTCACATATTTTTTTATGGAATTAAGTCTTTGTAAATCTTTACAAAAGAAGATTAAGACATTTCCATCTCTTATGAAAAAGAGATATCTTTGGGCTGAAGAGCTCTGTTAGTAATTCCACTGCTTCGATGAATGTCAATTTGCTAGTCTTACAAGGCAGAATGTAGTTAACGAATTTTGTGTGCTCAATTGTTCCAAGTTTCATCAGAAGAAGACGTACTTTTTTCGAGTCACTCCAATTTGCACAATCTGACGTATACAGGTCCTCATACCTCCTAAAGTATGATGCAATGGTTATGTTTTCCTCAGGATTGTATGAAAAATTCTCTATCACACTCCAAATGGTGTTTTGCGAAAAAGAAAATTTGTTTTCAATGGGATTACTACGGTTAGTCAATTCTAACACTTGCTTTTGAAGTTCGAGCTGCCTCTCTTGATTTTCCTTTTGAAGTTCGAGCTGTCTCTCTCGATTTTCCTTCTGGGTTTGCAGTAATACATTTACCATTCTTTCCTGTTGAGAGAAAAATTGTTTTTGCCACTTCTCTTCCATTCTTTCTTGGAGTTGTAGTTGCTGTGCATTCTGGTATTTTACAAGTTCTAACAAAATACTTTTGAAATCCTCCATGATAAGTGTATCTTTTACAAAAAAACTCGATTTTCCGTATTTTGAGAGAGTTCCTTTTAATCACGGTGGTCCACACAAAATCCTTGTAAATCTTCATCACCAAGTTGTTGTGGACATTGGTTTTTTTTTTTTTTTTTTTTTTGAGTCCCCATGAAGTGCGAATCCTCGTCGCCAAGTTGTTGTGGCCTGTTTAGGGGCCCAGAAAGAAAGATACGGAAGACAAAGGTAGGTTGAAAAAGTATATTGAAGATATATACAAAACAATAGTGTTAGTAATAAGTAGATTAGCACTGCGTCTACTACACCATTTCACTTCACCCTCTTCCACCCAACTCTCGCAGTTTGTATTTATGAGAGGAGGAAGAGTTCATTATACTGTAAGAGGGTTTACCACAACAGTTAGCTTTAAGAATTGTTTATTAAATTGATTCTAATTTTTCCTGTGTATGATAGATCTCAGAACAATATTTAATAAATCTTTGATATTGTGCTTTTTCTTTAATACTTGTATATCCCTGCCATGTTGCTGTTTTTAATTTTCAATTAATCTTTTATTAACTATTGAATTTCATTGTAAAATGTTATTAATTTCATGCTGATATACTTGCCAGATTACAGATGTTTAAAAATGCAAATTTAAAATTATTGCCCATTGTAATTGAATTAAGAATAAATCTGGAAGAGAAAAAAAAAACTAAGGAAAAAAAAAAAAATGAATGGTTTATATAAATCATGTAATTCTATTATTTATACAATGTCAAAAATTACTTTTACACTTTGAAGCTTTGAAATAATAGTTTTTAATAAGATTAAAATATTAATTTGATTTTTTGCTTAGCTTCTGATTACATTTATACAATTCTTTCATAAGGTGTTTTTTTGTGTTGGTTAAATTCTGCAACTATTATACATCTGAAGTTATTCATTCAAATTCCAAAAATCTATCTTCAATGAAATTGTTCTTTAAAGGTTCCCTTGTTTTCTCCGTGTCATATTTAATTAGAATCCTACTCAGTGCATATATTAAGTACATTTTACCATACATATTGCATTTTGAATGTTTTTAATAATCATAAAGATTTAATGTTATTACTATCACCAGCAATATTTATGCTGATTAACATAGTTTAAATAAATTTTCTGCATGTTTTTATATATAAAAGAAAAATCGATTTCAGTTAAAAGAAATTTCTTCGGTTAAAAAAAATGACCTAAATCATTAGCATGAAGAAAAGTTATTCATTATTTTTTATATTAATCAGGCTTTATATAAATTACTTAATCCATTGTATTTAGCAGAGCACCTTAAGAAAAACAAAATAGGACCCAATAAATCTTGGAAATATATCTGAAATAGTCCATGCAGAGGAATTGTATATTTGTAAATATCCAATATATTATAATTCAATTATCTGGTTTACTTTGTCCATTAAAGTATAACATAAAGACATAAATATATCAGGATTGAATCTATTATTAAATTCTAATTCTATTTTAGTTTGAAAATAGTGATTTTGCTCATTGCCTTTTAATCCCTGAAATTTCACTTGTAAGATTTTGTCTTTGTTATAAAACTTACATGAAAAATTTTCTATATTTGAAAATACATTTTAATATCATTATAGAATTTCTTTATATTTTAAAGTTACTAGGTTACATTAAATTAATTGATTCCCTCCTCCCAAACGTGATTTACATGTTTAATGAATTTTTTTAAATTATTTTTCTTGTACAGATCCATTTGACATCTCTCATAACCTTGGAGTTGGTTTGTCTCGAAAGAGTGAGTACCAAATAAATTTTATACTCTTTTGGGTTTATTATTTACATTATTTGGACTATTGTCCTCATCTTTGTCGCCATATTTATTACGTTTCAGCCGTTGTACGCCCCGGCCTTCTTCAGGTGGTTGGAATGTCGAACTGAATCCTTTATTTCGCTCACTGGGATAAACTGTTCTAGTTCCACATGCCATGTTTAATAAGTCTCAGTTATCAGTTATCTCCTGTTAATTTTCCCTCTGAAAGTTCTCCACTGCCTTAACCAGGTATTGAACTCTTTGGGACTTGTCACTGGATCTAACTAACGCCTTTATCCATTGTGCCATGTGTCCTTGCGTAAAGAAAGGGATCGTCCACTGCTTACAACACCGAGCAAAAGTCATAAGTGGCGACCCAGAGACATTAGATAAAGAATTGGTCAGTATAAGTAGTATCCTACAATGTAACGATTACCCTGGGAGTGAAATAAAAGGTTCAGTTCGACATTCCAACCACCTGAAGAAGCCTGGACTAATTA